TTTCATAAGCTTGATCTTGAGTTCATTATTCAAATACTAAGGAATTATTTTTAAATCTTAAATCCAGCTCCTGACTTAAGAATTTTTTTCTGGGGCCAGGGAGATAGTTCAATGGTGGGGCACATGCCTAGCACATACGAGGTTCTTTGACCTGGGCACTGCATGCCCCCTTAATATCAGGGCATGACTCTAATTCCCCAGCTGAGTACCACTTACCTGCACCAGGATGATATCTACTGGAAGTTTCCCTGAGCCCCCATGCATTGCTGGGTGTGGCTCATATAAAAATAAAATAAAAGATTTACTGTGAGTTATAAATAGCATTAAAATATATTTGTAGGCCAGGGATGTGTCTTAATGATAGAGTGTGTGCCAGCTAAGTTCTGTCCCTAACAATGAATTAATAACACCCCCACCCAATAAAACCATCAAAACAAAACAATCTTGATCATATGAGTACAGTTTTGGTTTTATATTTGACTATATTTTCTAAAGCTTGAGAAGTTCCTTCAGCTTGTCTGGCTCAATAAATAATGACAAACTTTCTTCCTTTTGCCTTATAGAACATACTTTCTTACTGTTAGTGTGGAAGCTATTACCACTTTACTTAAATGACTGTGTGCCTGAGATCTCTCTCTCTCTCTCTCTCTCTCTCTCTCTCTCTCTCTCTCTCTCTCTCTCTCTCCTGCATTGAGGGGCCCTAGTCAGTGGAGTCACAAGGACTGAGCTGTATCTACATGGGAGGCACCAGGATGGTACTCTCAGTCTCACACTCACATTGCAAGTACTTTTTTGCCACTGGGCCATGACTGTCATTTACTTTATTAAGCAAGCAAGCAAACTGCCTTCAAATATCAAACTTAACTCCAAAAGTAGGAATAAGTTTTTCAAAGTTGTCCTAAACTTCCAGTAGGCGGCACTCTTACAAAGTCTAAAGAAGTGATTGCTTTGGCAGTCTGCTGGTTCCTATGGCTTCCTTCTTGCTGTGACCTACTTGCAAATCTGTTTCATTGAGCTAAAAATGCATTTCCCCCTACTTATTAGAGTTAAATATACTGCCTATGAAGCACTCAAACAGCTGCAAATTAAAAATAACCTGCAAACTTCTTGCTACTTCTCAAAAGGGAATCACTATTATAGTTTAGTAAATGTGGTATTTCCCAGCCAATTCTCTAGCCTACACATACAGTGAGTGCTTATAAAAATAAGCAACCAAAGTAACATTTTAGATTTTAAAATAGTCATAAACAACAGGCTTGTCATTTTTTTTTGTTTGAACCTGTACTTGAAACTTTCTTATAAGTTAAAAAAAAAACCCACAGACCTGTGTCACTCACAGTTGCTGAGTCTGAAAGAGCCCTTAGTTGTCACTGTTAATTGAGGGTCTGTAGTTTAGTGATCGAAGGCTGAACTTGATAATATTGCTGTGCTTATTACATTTATTGGCATTGAGAGTAAGGAAATCTGTATTTAAATACTAGAAAACTAATGTTTTCTTGGCCAATTGAAGATCATAGAAAATTTGGAGTATAGAAAATTAGAAAAGGATTGTGATTTTTCGATTTTGCTGGCTATTCCATGAGATCCTAGCAACTGATTCTTCTTTTGGAAATTTTTTGAAATCACAACAGGGGTTCATTGAGAGGGGATTCTGGTACCCCCTGCACTCCTCCCCACTCCACACCCCCTCCCAGCATAACCTTAAGGATATCTGACTTGCCCCAAGAGACCAAGCAGAAGAACCAAAATACGTTTGTGACAGAATCTTGGAAGTCACAAACTGTCACATTCTGCTCATCATGAAGGGGACAGCACAGACCGTGAGCGCCAGAAAGCGAGAATCACTGGGACCACCTGAGAGCCCCCGACTAGAAACAGCTGCTCCTTTAGATGGTCACTTTAAAATCACAGGATTTGATGGATCACCTTGAAGGAGGTAAAAGGTAAAGGTAAAGGCCCTCCCGTTGATCATTGATTTGCTGGAGCAGACCCAGTAACATCTCCATTGGAGACTTTGTTGTTACTGTGTTTGGAAAGCTACTCTCGGTAGCTTTCCAGGCTCTCCGAGAGGGGCGGAGGAATCGAACTCGGGTCGGCCATGTTGGCTGCTTGTAAGGCAAACACCCTACCGCTGTGCTATCACTCCAGCCCTTGAAGGAGAGGACAGGAAAATGGAATCAACACTGAAATACTGAGAGGTGACAAAGAAGGACCTGAGAGAAAGTTTCCAGGCTGGTGATATTTCTGGGATTGCAGTGAATACATTATCTGCAAAAAAGGGGAAATTCTGAAAAACCAAACTAATAGCTGAGAATTAACCACCTAGTCTCTTCTTGTGGAAACCCTTTCTTTTTTTATTTTTTATTTTAATGAATCACCATGAGATAGTTACAGACTTACAAACTTTCATGTTTACAGTTCAGCCATATAATGATCGAGTACCCATCCCTTCACCAGTGCCCATTCTCCACCACCAATGTTCCCAGTATCTCTCCCCCCGCACTCCCCTCCCCCCACCCCCGTGGCAGGCAGATTCCCTGTTTATTCTCTCTCTTCTTTAGGGTGTTGTGGTCTGCAGCGCAGGTATTAAGTGACCATCCTTTTGGGTCTACAATCTATTCTCAGTACACATCTCCCATCCATGGCGGGTCTTCCAAGCATCCTTTACTTGGTGATCCTTTCTCTATCTGAACTGCCTTTTCCCCCTGCATGTGAGGCTGGTTTCCAGGCTGTGGAGCAATCCTCCTGTTCCTTGTCTCTCCTATGTTTGGGTGTTAGTCTCCCATTTTGTTATTTTAAATGCCACCAATGAGTGCAATCTTCCTGTCTGTCCCTCTCTTTCTGACTCATTTCACTTAGCATGATACTCTACATGTTAATCCACGTATATGCAAATTTTATGACTTCATCTTTTCTAACAGCTGCATAGCATTCTTGTGGAAACCCTTTCTCCTTTTAGTCTCACGCAATTTAGATGTCATTTGAAATGATTGGCATCCTCTCCTGAGTATCAGGGAAGTGGCATTGTTTACTACCATGGGGACAAGAACTTTGTTCAGGAAAAAACCTTGATGCTCCTTCCGTGTTGAAAGGTGAGTTTCTCTTAGAACATGTTCTGGGAATTGAAGGCTGGACAGAGAGCTAAGTTGCTATGCCTAACAAAGATAAACAGACCACCTGAACAGAAAATGTGAGTGTGGGTTGAGAGATTGCACACTTGCATATTGAAGATGTCTATCAAAGCTTAACTTCAAATGGCCTAATCTCCCTCCATGGGCTTTTGCATTTGGCCCTGGGATTCCTTCAGGCTTCCTGACACCTCTCTCTCCCTTGGCTCCCTTTGACAATCCTTGCTCATCGTTTCCCCAGTTTCACTACCCTATTTTGGTTCCATTTCGTACATACTCACGGGACTCATATATTCAGGACTCATCAGATACCAGGGATTCTTCCTAGCACATTCTATGTGTAACACCTCATTTAATCTTCATAACCCCCCCCCCCCCCCCATTTTAAAGAGCATAAAACGGAGGCACACAGAGGTTAAGCTTCTTGCTAATAAGTGGCAGGGCCAGGAGTTGAAGCCTGACTGGATTCTAAGCTTGGGCTCATAAGCATGAAACAGGACTCTTGTATTTCTTGTGGAATTTGAGTTCGGCAACACAGACTGAAACACCTTCTACTTAGGCTTAGCCTTCCTGCACTTATAACATGACATTTCTTACTGACTTGCAAGTCTGGAACACTCATTAGAAACCTGCCCTGGGTCTAACAGTGCCTAATTGGAGAATAAACATCAAAGCAATGTTTAATGTCCCAGTGTCTTTACCCATGTGTTTGTTCTTTTCCCGTTCTTTTTCCTTTGCCTGATGGTTTTGTGTGAAGCATTAAGTTGCCCCTGACAAACTGCAAACATCTTTTTTAAAAAAAATTTTTTTTTATTAGTGAAACACCATGAGGTACGGTTGTAGACTTACAAATTTTTGTGCTTGGGTTTCAGTTGTACAGTGATCGAGTACCCATCCCTCTACCAGTGCCCATTCTCCACCACCAATGATCCCAGTATCCCTCCCACCCCACCCCCATCCCTCCATCCCACCCCGCCTCTGTGGCAGGGCATTCCCTTTTGTTTTCTCTCTCTTCAAACTGAAAACTTCTTTCCTGTGTTCATTGAAGCTCTGTGATTTTTCTCACTTCATCCTCTTTCTTGGTAGATGTCCATGTCTGCCTTCAAGAGCTTTCAAGACAAGGGCCCGATCTTACTTACCCTTAAGACCTTAAACTGATGCACTCTAGGGTCCAATACTAGTTTCATTTAATTTTCTTCTTTTTTTGGGTTGGGGAATGTATGGGGATTGAATTCATGGCCTTATACATGTGAAGCATGTGCCCTACCAGGAAGTTCTATTCCAGGTCTGACTGAATAAAAGAAGGTGTGAGAAAATGGGAAGCACACTATCATTTTCCACAGGGGCAACACAATTTGCTTGTAGATTTGTGTAAAAAGCAAAGACTTTATGAAAGCGTCTTCTTAAGTACCAACCTTGACATCTTTGTTTATCCACTTTATGATTAGTATTTCACAGATCACTTTCTGTACCCTTGTCCTTAGAGTTGAAATAAAGAAGGTACACATTTCATATTATTACCACTCATCTTTTATTAAGATTATACTTATTAAAACACCACTACTTAATCATTGTTCTGTTATTAAAATTGTGTCCAAGATTACCAGAAGAAAGTTTATTGAAAGACCCATTCCAGGTTCAAAAAGATATCAAGCAATTTTGATTTGCTGATGAAGACCAACATGTTTTAATCCCTTGTAACTGATTATTGTTTCAGAAGGGCAAAGAGGACTAATGTGAATAGAAAATTCACAGAAAATGAAACAAAAATAGAGACTGAACTGATAGAATAGCTTACTTGGCCAGGAATAATTTCTATTTGTACATTTTTTGTTCTTAAGGTACCAATCCTAGGGCAGATCTTGTGAAATTTTATATTATTTCTTCAGTTTCCTGAACTTGAGAGGAGACCACCTCACCATTTATCACCTCCTGCACAATTGTTTTGATTTCTTGGGGTTTGGTTGAGTCTGCAGATAAAAGTGGAATAAAGATAATAAAGTTAATGTTTCAAATATCCAAGATTGATTGCTGTTTAATTTAAACTTTTAAATTAAATTTAATTTACAGAATTCATCAAAAATGACTGTTCCTAAAACCATTCTAAAAACTATGTTATTCAACAGAAACAAATCATATTCTGTACTTTTGTGCACAAATTAAAAGTTTTTAATAATATTTAAGAAAGATGATGATGTTTCTTATACCTCTCTATAGAACTTAATTTTGGTCCCCTTGGCTTGGAAAATACTTTAATATAGTACAAATCAATCATTTTTATGTAAGATCACATGTTTTTGTCTTAGCATATATATTTAAATATAAATAATAATTCTGATTGTGATATTCAATGCATTCTTACAAGGTTAGTCATTAATGAATGTGACTTGTTCAGTCAATCTGAGAGAATCTGCTTACCTTTAGAGGAATCAATCAATTGGTCTTGAGATTTGGATTCAGATTCAGTCACAGATAAACTTTCATCTAAATCATCACTGTAAGGACACAGAGGAAATGACATCACACAGTGCTTTCTAGGATGAGGAGAAATAAGGGGCTTGCTATCTGAGCCCTCAAAGTGTAGTGGAAAAATTAGGAGCAGAAGCGGGAAACTAGAGGCAGGATCTTTGCGTGACCCATTCTAGGAACTGGGCAAAGATGAGTAGGTCATAAGTCATAAAGTTATGACCAAAACAGAAGAGCCAGACAGATCTGGTTGTTTGAGGAGAAAAGAAATGGGGCCACAGAAATAGTAAATGTTTATGTGGAACTTAAAACAGAATGTACTAATCACTGATTGTACCAAGCATTATATATGTTATCAACCATTGTGTATGTTAGATGAGAAAAAATTGTTCACATAGAATCTGTGTCTCCTGCATCTAACCTGTATAAGCTTTGTGTGAACTACATTCGGGGTTTGACCCATTTTGGCCTTAGCAAGGTGGCTCCCCTCAAATCTATCACATGTTTGCACCTGTTTTTTGGTCAGAGTTTTGTAAGAAAAGGAGAAAGGTGATCACTTATGGTAAAATAGAGAAGGCATTCTGAAGTTCTTGATGGAGTACCCCTATAGCAATTAGTTGTTGCAGTGCACATCCTGTCTCAAAGGGGCTTTCAAAGGGGTATGAACTAGGAGTCGATGAAGATCTGGTCTCAGAACTGAGTTTTCTCAATTTACAACCCTGAGTTCCTCCTACTAGTCCAGAATTTGGGAAACTTCCCTACAGTCGGTTGGGAGTGCTCAGATAGCTGTTCTCTGATGTTTTATTCTTGTCATATCAGAACTCTCAAATGGGAGATTTTCCCCATTGGTACTCATTTGCAGTATGCCTCTCTCTATTGTGCCTTCTTGCTTATCTCAGCATTTTGATGAAGTAAAATAGTGAGTGACAGCAACCTTCCCTAGTGGAATGCATTTAAACATATTGCGTGTGTGCTAAACCCTGCCATGTGTGTGGCGGAAACTGCATCAGGAGTCCACGTTTGGTGAACCATCAAGTTGCTTTCCCACACCCCAGAGTTAGCTAATCACCCTTGTGCCTCCCTGTCCAACAAGCGGCTGTAGGTCTCAATCTCCAGCTCCAGGCTCGCCTTGATGCTCAGCAGCTGCAGGTGGTCAGCATTCTGGCGCTCAGTGTCCTTGCGCACCTGGAGCAGCCGGGCCTCCACGTTTGAGATGAGCTGCTGCACCTGGGTCAGCTGGCTGCAGGACCCGCTCTCGACTTCGGCCAGGGAGTCTTCCAGGGAATTTTTCTGCACATGGGAAGAAAATGGCACCAAAGAGCAATGGAGGGGACTGGAAGGAGGGAGGCGGCCGGGAGGGGGCCAGCAGTCCCATGTTAATTTGGAGGTTGTCTTTCTCCTACCATGGCCAGCTGGGCCTGGAGCTCCAACTCCCGCTTCTGCAAAGTGCGTCTCAGCTCTGCGACCTGCCTCTTGCTCGACTGAAGCTGCGTCACATTGTCGCCCATCTCCTTGCTGAGCTCTGTGCTCTGCCAGGGCACAGAGAGGGGAGCGGGGAGGGTGTGAGGGGGCACTGCTCTCATGGTGCTCAGTGCCAGTGTCTCTGAGAACCTGATTTTATTTGCACTACCTTTTATTTTTAGATTCTTTTTTCTTTTTTGGGGGGGAGGGGGAATTGCTCCTGCCTCTGCAGTCAGGAATTACTCCTGGTGGTGCTTGGGGGACCATATGGGATGCTGGGGATTGAACCCAGGTTGGTCGCATGCAAGGCAAACACTCTCCCCGCTGTACTATGGCTCTGGTCCCTCGCACTACCTTTTCAATGAACCAGGCCTCAGTGTCCTTGCGGTTCTGCTCTGCCATCACTTCATACTGCATCCTCATGGTGTTGAGTAGACTAGTGAGGTCCACACTAGGGGCAGCATCCATTTCTATGCTGATCTGGCCTGGGTCGCTTGCCTCGTAGCTTTGGAGCTCCTGGGAACAGCAAGAAACAGAGAGAATTAGACATTGTGGCCTTTTCTTAAGAAAAGATCTTAAGATAAATTTTATGGCTGCATGATTATAAAGACAAACATAGGGACACATCATGTTAAAACATGCTTGACCAAAAAAATGCATGGTTTCTTTCAATTCTGAAAGTACCTAAGACATTTTTACAGAGCCCTAAACTCTTCCTGCCTCCTGCTCTAGGTACTGTGCCTGCCTCATGTAACTCTTAAGTCGACCATCTCTTTGAGGGTTCCAGGGCCCTACAGAGAAGAAAGACGGGTGGAGAAGGTAAACAAGGAGGTTTCAACCATGACTGCAGACTAGAGCTGCAGACACGTTATACTGACATCGATCAAGCCACACAAATGCCCCTAGGCGTAGGTCAATGTGTCTTTTATAGTTAAGTGAAGAGGGTGGACAGAGGTCAAGTGACCCTGTGGAAGCTACTTGAGACCCCCAGGGCAGATGAATCAGGAGCTGTACGCTGGGTCCCTGAGTTATTCCCACTTTGTGTGCACTGTAGTCCTTAGTTCCCCCATAAAGCTCTATGAGGTCATCACCAAGGTCATGAGTGGACTCTGTGCAGTGAGTTTTGTTTGTTATGCATAGCAGAACCTGCGTCTCTAGCATAGGCAGCACTGAGCAGCCTTGGCAGATTTTGATAGCTTCTAAACACTAGGTCACTAGGTTTAAATTGGCTAAATTGGAATATTCAACATTCTCATTCTCTACCTAGTGATGAAAAGGGACAAAGTCAGAAATTGCCTCTAGTTTCTCAGACATGATCTTTATCACCAGCACTACCCCACTTCCAGCACACACACAACCACCTCCCCCATCAAGCGATCCTTTGAGCAGATCCTCTGCCTTCTCTCTTCAAACTCCTGGGAGGTACATGTGAAAGGGTGGCCTGTGAGCTTGGGAGATAAAAGCGAGCTGCCCTTCCGGGCGGACCTCCTCGTGGTTCTTCTTCAGGTAGATCAGCTCCTCCATCAGGCCCTCGATCTGCGTCTCCAGGTCAGCCCTGGACAGGGTCATCTCATCCAGCACCTGGCGTAGGCCATTGGTGTCAGCCTTCATGCTCACATGTAGAGCCTGCTCATTCTCATATCTGAAAACCAAGTGAAAAACCCAAGTAGGAGATCCCATTCATTTGAATTAGATCCCTGCCAGCCTCTGGGTTATTTGTACATGAATCTATTAGCTATTTTAAAATGGCAGCATCCCCATGGATGATACTTTGGTCTTCGGTCAGTTTTCCCTATCTTTTCTTTTTTCTCTCTCTCATAATTTCTACTGCTCAGTTGCAGAGAAGTGAAAAGACTTAAGGGGTGATACTTGTCTGTCAGCATCCCAGGGAACAATATTCCCTTCAGCTGGCTGCCCTGGAAGAGTCTGTTTCAAGGTGGAGTCTGATAAGATTCAAAAAACGTAGATGAAAAGAAAACTGTTTTGCTTAGCTTGACTCATGATTTAATAAAAATACCAGGAAATTATTTCTGTCTCCTTTATCAAGATTCTGTTGGCTCAGGATCATCCTCACTGCAATATCTGGTAAAATTTTGTGGAACAAAAAAAAATTTATATTTCTTTCCTAAAGTCTTAGAGGGTGGAGGATGGCAAAGGAGGAAGCAGTATAATACTTAGTGACAGAGTTAATTTGTTGGTTGTGTGTATCACCAAGGAAAAGAGCATTTCGTGAATTCATGAACAAAACTGTTAGTAATCCATTTCAGTGCACGGGAGGCTGAGGTTTAATACACTTGTAGAATCATCATATTGTGTCATGAGTCAATAGCAGATCATAACATCTGGCTCTATAATCCTAGGTTTAAGAAATGTACAAAGGCCAGTAGTGTGAATTGTGTTTGATACTAATTACTTTCCACAGTCCTCAATATCTTTTTGCCAAAACATGAAATGTGCAGAGTATGGTTGCTACAGAAAATTTGCTGTCAGTGAAGGCAGGAAAATAAATGAGAAAGGTGAGACATGCCAGTTATCTTTGTTTCCCTTTTGTTCTACTCACTTCATTCTGAAATCTTCAGCAGCCCATCTGGCATTGTCAATCTGCAAGATCATCTGCGCATTTCCAATATTGGCAGAGATGACCTGGTAGAATCAGGGAAGACACAGAAAATGAGGTCTTAAAATACTAGGATTATGCAACTATGTTTTTGAAGGGGCATATGTTAGACGATATTAATGTGGTATTTTCTTATTAATAATTTCAGTCCACATAACTTTTAAAAATAAAATATATCTATAAACTAATGAAAAATGAAGAAATATATGTATAAGTTGCTTGATAGTAAATTATAAAATGAAACAAAATAATGTAATATGAGAAATTGCTACTCCTTTTCCCATTCTGTTGAATAGAAAAATATCTAAGTGTCAGGTTATCAACAGTATAGCACTGTAGCACTTCACTGTCCTCCGATTCATCGATTTGCTCAGGCGGGCCCAGTAACGTTGTGAGACTTGTTGTTACTGTGTTTGGCATATCAAATACGTTATGGGTAGCTTGCCAGGCTGCGCTGTGCAGGCAGGATACTCTCGGTAGCTTGCTGGGCTCTCTGAGAGGGGCAGAGGAATCAAACCTGGGTCGGCCAGGTCGACTGCATGCAAGGCAAACGTCCAACCTGCTGCGCTATTGCTCCAGCCCAATCAATAGATACAATACTGTAATAGTGGAGTCAGGGAGATATCTCAGAGATCAGAGGTTTAAAGTGCGTGTGTTCAGGGACCCCAGTTCCACTGTCCCTGAGCACTGAGAACACTGCTCTGGTGGCCCCAGGCACTGCTGGACCAAGCAATGCTCCATTGCAAGGTGAATGCATTGACCCATCTGGCCCTGGAAGGGGCCTACAGGCTCCCTGAGAATTTCTTTTCTTTTTTTTTTTTTTCTATTTTTTAATGTAGGAGTTGGCTGGAGCGATAGTACAGCAGGTAAGGCGTTTGCCTTGCAAACGGTCAATATGGCCAACCCGAGTTTGATTTCTCTGCCTCTCTCAGAGAGCCTGGCAAGCTACCGAGAGTATCTCGCCTGCAAGGCAAAGCCTGGCAAGCTACCCGTGATGTATTCGATATGCCAAACACAGTAACAACAAGTCTCACGATGGAGATGTTACTGGGCCCGCTCGAGCAAATCAATGAATAACGGGAGGACCGTGACTGTGATAATGTAGGAGTACTGCTATTTATTCAGTCACTGATTAGCTGATTGAATTGAACATGAACTCCACCTTACTTTTTCTTTTCATTTTTTTATAATTTTATTTATTGAATCACTGTGAGAGCAGTTACAAAGGTTTCGGGTTTAAGTCTCAGTCATACAATGAAACACTTGTACCTTCACCAGTGCCCATTCTCCACCACCAAAAACCCCCATCTCACACCCTCCCCCTACCTGTGGGGCAGATGATTTTCACATTACTCTCTCTCTACTTTGATCACATTCAATATTTTGACCCACCATTATTATTTGGGATTTTACCCCAACATCCCTGAGCATTTCTTGGGAGACCTCCTCATATTATAATAACAAAAACAAAAAGCAATTGCCCAGGGATCTTCAACATTCCATTACTTTTTATTTGAAGGGATGACTTCAAGTAGTGCACAGGAAGCCAAGTGGCTACTCTTTGTGACATTCAGCCAAAATGGGCCAGCAGATCTTCGCTGGGGCCTGGGTATGTGGTGCTGCTCAGATCCTGCAGTGCTGGAGCCCACAGGGGCCATCCCAGAGGTGCTCAGAGGCCCCGCATTCTTACCTTATTTCTGAGGTCTTCAATCAATGAGCAGTATCGACTGTAATCACTTCGTAGCATTCCACTCCCAGATGCTCGTGTTTCATACCACTCTTGAATTTTATCCTCTAGTTGAGTGTTAGCATCTTCTAGAACTCGAACCTTATCCAGGTAGGAAGCTAATCTTTCATTCAGATTTTGCATGGTTTCCTTTCCTGATCCAGGAAGGAGACCCCCATCACTGGTGGGGAGAATTGCTAAAGAGCCTCCTCCCGGGATCCCCCTAAATCCACTCCCCAGAACTTCTGCACAAGCAGTGCCTGTGATGAAACCACTAAATCCAGAACCATAACCCAACATAGAAGCAGAACTGCACCCCAAGCTCAAGGCACTTCCCACATAGCCTGTCCCACTCTGGGAATAATGTTGCTGTGACAGCCCAGAGGGGCACACTGAGAAGGACATGGTGTTGGGGGGAGGTGGCCGTAGCCTGAGGAAGGCAGTGACTGTGAGGTGGGAGGCACATCTTTTATAGTTGTGGGTTGAGGTTGAGAAGGTCACTCTCTCTAGTCAAATACAGTTCCAGCAAGTAAATGATGTATGCATGTTGAAAACTCATTGGTCTGGAAATAATTGAATAATTGTGCCCATTTTTCATTTGCAAAAATGAAAACTGGGTGTAGAAGCAAATTGTCAAAAGGAATCTTACTTCCCCACGTCATTTTACTACCTACATTCTCCACTCTGCCCAATGCCTGGCACACACCAGGAATGCAATGAGAGCTTGTTAAATGAATGAAATGAAGAACACTTCTTACCCAAACCTTTAGCTGCTGCAAGTGCTTCACCCATATTTCCTGTTTGTTGTCCTTAGAAAAATTTAGTATAAAGCATCTGACCATGATCCACGTTGTCTCCGAATGGGACTTTGTTTTAGCAGCAGAAAATAGGCCGCCGGGATAGCACAGTGGTTAGGGCGTTCGCCTTACAAGCGGCCAACATGGCCGACCCGAGTTCGATTCCTCCGCCCCTCTCGGAGAGCCCGGCAAGCTACCGAGAGTATTCGATATGCCAGACACAGTAACAACAAAGTCTCCAATGGAGATGTTACTGGGCCCGCTCGAGCAAATCGACGATCAACGGGAGGGCCTTTACCTTTACCTATGAAAATAGAGGTGTTTATCAACCACTTACTGATTTTCAGGCTAGGCTATGGTAGGTTTGATATACGGTTAGAGTTAAGATAGTAGTTAGGTTTAGGGTTAGGGCTAGGGCTATGGTTCAAGACAGGTTTATGGATTAAGGTTGGTTATATCCAATCTTAAAAATGGTAGTTTAGGATGATTGTTTAATTTAGACTATCTGGCAGGTTTATGCATAACTTAGGATAAGGTTAGCCTAGGGTTAGGAAAAGGATGGGCATTGTAAGGGTTGAGTTAAAGTTCGGTTATGCAAAAGGATTAGGGGTTAGGTTCGACTAACTTCAGAGTTAAAAATCAATATTTTATGTTTAGGGCTTTTGCTTTTGTCAATTTTAGGATAATTGTAGGCTTTGATCACATTTTGGGTTAGGTTAATACAGGGATGGGTCTCAAGTTGTCCAATGTTGGCAATAAAATTAGATATAGAGATAGTGTTAATCTTAAGCTACCTGGTATGGTTAGGCCAAAGTTAGAGTAAGTTTAAAAGGTAAAGGTAAAGGCCCTCCCGTTGATCGTCGATTTGCTCGAGCGGGCCCAGTAACGTCTCCATTGGAGACTTTGTTGTTACTGTGTCTGGCATATCAAATACTCTCGGTAGAGTAAGTTTAGTATAAATTTATAAATGGAATGAACTTTAGATCTTAATAGGGTTTTTAGATAGTTTTATAAAAGAATTAGGGGTTAGGTCTGGCCATATTCAGAGTTGAAAATCAATGTTATATTTAAGGCAATTATAAAACTGAGGCTAATTGGCCCATTTAGGCCTGTGCTAGGATAAGGTAAAATTTGGTGTAGAGTTAGGGTTAGTATGAAGGATAGTAGTAGGGTTAGAATATTTGATAGGATTTTGGTATTAGTTTGGGATTTTACTTAGGGCTCGAGCGATAGGATTTTGGTATTACTTTGGGATATTACTTGGCTGGAGCGATAGCAAAGCGGTCGGGCGTTTGCCTGCATGTGGCCAACATGGTCAACCCGAGTTCGATTCCTCTGCCCTTCTTGGAGAGCCTGGCAAGCTACCGAGAGTATCGCGCCCGCACGCCAAAGCCTGGCAAGCTACCCGTGACATATTCGATATGCCAAACACAGTAACAACAAGTCTTACAATGGAGATGTTACTGGGCCCTCTCGAGCAAATCGATGAACAACAGGAGTACAGTGTTTCCTTGGGATTGTTTAAGGTAAAAAAAACCCCAATGCATCATATAGGATGACTTTTCTACTTATTCTAATTTGTAGTATCAGGCCTAGGCCTAGTAGTATAGGGTTAAGGTTACAGTTAGGTTTAACCTAAGGGGTTTTAGAGCTATGTAGGTTTAGAGCATAGAATTCTTTATGTCCAATCTTGGAAAGGAAACTTGGATATATGGGGATTGTTAAAACTTAAGCTAACTGGTAGGCTTAAGCCTAGTTTATGGTCAGCCTATTACAGATTGGGACAAAGAGGAGCATTAGCGCTAGGATTAGGTTGAGGTTTTGTCAATGGATAGGAGTTAGGTTTGGCTATGTTCAGAGTTAAAAATCAGTATTTAGGGCAATTGTAAAATTGAGGGTAATTGGTTTTGGTCTAGCTGGAGTGAACTTAAATCAGGGATAGGGTGGGGTTTACCATTAGGGTAAGTGAAGGTTAGAATTTTTGTTAGGGTTATAGTATTGCTTTGAAAATATTTAAAGTTAAAAAAATTAATGTTAAACCTTTACTCAAGGACTACAGTTGTCTCTAGATTTATAGTATGACAGAGAGTGCAGGAGTTCAGGTCCTTGTCCTCACACAGCCAACACTGAAAACAAGGGATTGGAGATCAACTGGTCGAATTTAGTTAAGAGGAGGGAAGAGAAAGCAGGGGAGCTCCCAGGTTATGGAAGGGGTTTTATAAAGCAGGATTCTAGAGAAAAACAGAGACCTTTCCTCTTTCATACTTTTTTATGGGGGCCAGGTGAGCATTTCTTTATTGAGTTTTAAAGAGACAATTGGTCAGTAGAACAGGGGTAAGGATGTTAAGATGGTTATCTGAACATTTAGATTTCAATTATTTCGATTATCTAGATTATTTAATAATTAATATTTGTTTCTGAGTCTCTGGGATCATGGCTGTTAAGCAGCTTGATCAGGAGCCAGAGAGGCTATTCGTGGGCGATGACTTGGGGTCTCGTTGGGGTGAGGAGGACAAGCCCGGCTCCACCCTAATCCCGTGAGGTCCTGTGTGTTTCGTCACTGGGGGCCCAAATGTGACTATCCAGTGGCCTCAGACGGGAGCAATAGCACAGCGGGTAGGGCGTTCGCTTTACACGCAGCCAACATGGCCGACCCAAGTTCGATTCCTCCGCCCCTCTCGGAGAGCCCGGCAAGCTACCGAGAATATTCGATATGCCAGACACAGTAACAACAAAGTCTCCAATGGAGACGTTACTGGGCCCGCTTGAGCAAATCGATGATCAACGGGAGGGCCTTTACCTTACCTTTTAATATTATTTACTAAATTTAATATTAACATGATTTAATTAATAATATTATTTAATAAACAATATTAGATTAAATAATATAAATGATTATTTAGATTTAGATAATCCAGTCATTTAGATTATTTTGTCATCTAGGTTGAGAGCCCAGGTCATCCAGGTTATATGGCACCACCTCGGCCCACCCTTGTGATATTCCATACCAATAATTACTTTTCTTAGGACCATATTCTAAATATATAATATGCTATCAATAGGGGCATGCTGTTCTATTTCTTAGCATATTTAAGAGGTGTTGATAGCTAGGGAGATAATCTCCTCACTTCACACAATTACTAATTGGCAGAGCAAGGGGTCTAACCATCTGGTTCCCTGTATAATCTCATCGACCTAGAGGAAAAAGCATAGCAAAAGCAAGGATTAACCCTCATTTTTATGATTGGAAGTAGATTAAAAATAATAACCCTAACTCTTGTCACAAAGTCATCATTGCCTTAGGACAGAGTTCCTTGCCAGTGAATTTCAAATTGATTTCCTGTAGGATTATTATACATCAGACTCACAGTCTTTGGTTATTTGCATAAGGCTTCAGGTTATTTTGGATTTTGTTTTGATAGGCTCTCCGATAGCAGGCAGGGCTCTCCGATAGCACAACGGGTAGGGCGTTTGCCTTGCACGCAGCCAACATGGCCGACCCGAGGGAAAAAGAATTCACTGCAAAAATTTCTTAACATCTTTAAAAGCAAGGTGCTAACTAGTGGGTCTTGGAAGAATATGTAAAAATAAATTTTCTGACAAAAGTTGTGTGGAATCAAGTCTTTTTATCTGGATAATTGTGGCAATGAGGTCTTGTATGTGGCTAGCTTATAAAAATGACAGAAAATAATAGAATGAGTAAGGATAAGTAACTGGGACATAATTTTTTGGTTGAGTTTGTCGTGTGGTTATTTTGAAAGAGCATCATGACCATTTAGTCTTGAGGATCAGCCTTGCTCCACAAGGGTGAGAATTTATCTCACATTTATAAATAATCCTCATTGTCTTCTTCATTAAATAAGGGTGACATTAATAGGTTAAGTCATATGAAATTGCTAGTTTTCCCCTTGTCTGGGACTCTGCCCTCCCCTCTTTTAAATAATTGAAGTACTGGGCTAGAGAACTAGTATGGTAGATAGATAGGTTGCTTACCTTGTACGTGGATGACCTGGCTTTGGCCCCCAGAACCCCACAAGGCATGAGCTCTGAGTACAGAATTGGGAGTAAACCCTGGGCACTGCCAAATGTGGCCCCCAAAGAAAATGAAATAAAAATACAACTTCCCCCTGCCCCTCAAGGTATCATTATCTTATGACAGTGAATAGGTTTCAGGTGTGCATTATTGAAAATCGACACATACATCCTTTTTCTATTGACTTACTGTCCTCCAACTTCCTCAATCTCCTGCCTTTCCTTATAGTGATCGGAATGGTCTCATAGTCCAGAAGTTCATAATTGTTTTTATGAAATTGCTATTTTTGAAATTTAAGAACATAATTGCAATGCTGACCAGCTCATATGATTTAACCTAACAACTTCTTCTTCATAAGATTACTGTGAAATAAAATTAGAAATGGATATGAAATGTCTAGTACATCATAGATGGTTCAAAGTTAGTGCTCAATCAATGGTCACTTTTTGAGTTTGTTTTGGGTCACATCCAGAAGAGCTCAGGGGTTACTCATGGCTCTGTGCTCAAGGATCACTCCTGAGAGTGCTCAGAGGGCCACATGCAGTGCTGGGATGAAACCAGCATTATCCACAGGCAAAGCAAGAGTCTTAACCCCTGTACCATCTCTCTGGTCCTCAAATGATAATTGTATTAAGGTGAATCACAGATCACACTCAAAATTCCAGTTTTATTTTTTTCAAACCTCTATCAAATTTTAAGTCCAAGTTATTTGCTTTCTAGAATACAATGAGAAGGGACAAATGAATGTTTTTCCTATAAACATTTGTAAGGCAGCTTTTTCTCACTGAAATATTAAAAGGGTAAGAATACAGTGCCTAATTTTTTGAGGTACCTTGGTCACCTAGCATAGTATTTTCCAAGATTACCTATGTGATAGCACATACCTGAACATACTTTGTTCCTTTTATTGCCAAGTAACAGTCCATTAAATGAATACTGCCCAGTTTTTTAATCTGTTATCACTCAGTGGGCATCTGATTTTTCCACTTTTGTAATATTATGCACAATGTTACTAAGAATATTTCTGCACAAAGAACACATTGGAGGTTCCATTTGTACGAAATATTTATATTAGAATAGAAAGAGCTATGCTTGGAATATCACGTTTCACTCAAATGAGAGAACGAATCCGGAGTTCTGACATCCGTCGACGATCAAGGATCAGGGACGCTGTCTCATATGCCAAGGTGTCGAAAATCAGATGGGCTGGTCACGTAATGAGATTTAAAGACGACCGTTGGACTAGAGCTGTTACTGATTGGATTCCACGGGATGTCAAGAGACCGCGTGGCCGCCCACCTACCAGATGGTCAGACTTCTTTGTCAAGATCATGAACGATCGGTTTGAGGCCCTCCATGTTCCCGGAGCGAAGAGATACCATTGGGCTACACTAGCACGCGACAGGGACAAATGGAGACGTTACTGGCGCCCGCTCGAGCAAATCGACGACTAACGGGAAGTTAAGTGATTAAGTGATTAAGTGATTTATATTAGAAAATTTTGTAAAGAGAGAACTGTATTAGTGGTGCATTGTTGGGGTGTGTGGTTAATAATATTTTTATTTTTTGAGTTTTGAGGTTTTGCTGTACCATTGAAATATAATGATGTTGAGGCATTAAAATATGATGGAGTTTCTTTTGTGGTATGATAAAAACATTCTAAAATGAGAGACTAGTCATGGTGATATAATCCTTTGAACATACTAAAACCCGCTGAAGTGCATACTTTCCAAGAATGAATTTTAGTATATAAATTATATCTCATTAAAGCTGTTGTCAGCAATTGTGAGAAATATTTTGTAACATACAGTCACTACCACGCAAGAAAAGAGAATATCTTCTGATGTGTGCAGTATAATGATGTTTATTAACATCAGGAGAACCACTAGGGCCTGAGGAAGGATTCACTAATTTTCCTTCAATTCAAATCAAGTCTGTTTTAAATACATCCCATTTCAAGGATAAGGTGTTTTATTTGAATTCTGCTCAGTGTGTATGATTAGAATCTGACTCAAACTATTCAGAGAACTGTGTAGTTTTAAAAGACATTGAAAGACAAAAGCAGACATAATGCAAAGTAATCAGAGTTGTATCAATACTGATAATTAAATAAAATTAGACAAGAAATTGCCTCAGTTAAGAAATGTGGACTGGGGAGATAGTTCAACTGGCTGGAGCTCATGCTTCCCATGCAGGAGTACTGGGTTCTACCCTGGGGAACCACTGGGGGCACCCCCCTGAGCAATAAGCAGGGAGTATCCCCCTCAAACAAACAGAACAAAATAACCAAACTTAAGGGCCCCTAAAAGGATATTTTGCAATTCAGAAATAGGAAAAACTAGAGGGAGGGGGTGATTTGCAATTCATTTAGGCTCTTCTGCTTGTGAAGTTGAAATATGTTGTAATTTCCAGAAATCTTAATTTATATTAAGTGCTCTGCAGTTACTAATTAATGTGTTTTATAGTAAATATGGCAGTAATGAGGTTTTAAGCATCCCAGTGCTCAGTGACTCTTATTAAAACAGACAATTTACAGTTCCTCTGAGTAAAATATTTTTATTCAATTGTGGATTGTTTTCCTTCTTTCCAACAACTACAAAGTCACTTTTGTGAAGGCAGCACTGCCTTCTGGGAATTGTTCACATGTCTTCTTCCATCTCTCTGACTTCAGATGATACCACCTTGCCGTCCACTACTTCTTCCACGACTGTCTTAATCTTCCTTGTTTTCTTCAACTCTGAATTCAGATTTCAACATAAATAGTTAAGCAAAACGCATGGTTCAGATCAAATCTAGAAGTCAACTTTAAGTTATTGTTTTGTGCATATTTCCTTTTGTATGTATTTCCAGGGGAGCCTGGCAAGCTCCCCATGGCATTTTGTGTGTATTGTTTTGTGTGTATTTCCTTTTGGGTGTATTTCAAGGGGAGCCTGGCAAGCTCCTTGTGGCATACTCATATGCCAAAAACAGTAACAACAAACCTCACAATGGAGATGTTACTGGTGCCCACTTGAGCAAATTGATGAACAATGGGAAGACAGTGCTACAGTGTTACAGTATTTTCTTCATTTAGAAGAAACTTTAACCTATCATCTTTATGATATGGTCTTAAGTCCATTTCATAGGTACTTGTGGACAACGTCTCATTCTCCCCAAATTTACAAGCGATCTTCACTCCGTAAACCTAAGCAGAAATATTAAATTAAGCAAAATGCATGTTTTCATCTTATGTTTCTTTGTCAGGTTCTCAAGATGATCATTCTGTCTAAGGGAATGGGACAAATTCCCCACATGGAGGATTTCTCTATAGAATGTGTCTTATTTCTAGAATCTCCAGGATAGTAATCATTTCCCTGTGTTTGTCACCCATGGCTAATAATAAGAGGTAAACTACTGAGTGATATTGAGTGAGAATTCGTTTTGTCTTATAGAAAAAGTAATTTTCAGATGAGAGCACTTACCTTTTTCTTCTATGGGATGAACTTCTGTAACTATTTCTCTAGTTCTGATGTTTTTTTTTTAAAGAAGAAAAAGAAATAGAAAAAAAGAAAAAAGTGGCATTTTAATTTTTGAAACGAAGCACTTTCCTGCCCTTTATTTTTGTTTCAAACTACAGTTTGGAGGGATGTGCGGTTTGATTCTGTGGTAGGATTTCTTTCTTCTAGGTGTATTACTTTTTAACTTACAAAATATATAAACTGTCACCTCTGTTTAACATGTGATGAATGTGTTTTTTTTGTGTGTATATATATATAAAACAAAGGAATTAAGTTTTGGATTTTCTTGTTGACTGTCTTGGATGTGGTACTGAAACCAGTCACTTCCTCAATGCTGGAATTGTGGAATTATTTCCCACTGCTTCTCATAAATCTCTGTGGTCTGTTGTTCAATTCGGGGTATCTCAATGAGGATTCTATGAGGTAATCTTTCAATCTTTCAATGATGCATTGATTATAAAATTTAATGCAAGAACAACTTCCATTATCTGTACAATTATCTTTGAACTTAGTCCTGCCATGCAACCTTAAGTATGAAGGCTGTACTTGGTAAATTTGGGGTGTATCTACTTCTTGATATATTTGCCGTTGGTCTGTGTTTGTTTAAACATGCAATTTCTTCTATGCTTCGAATTGTACTGGTGTGGGGAATGAGTGATAGGGTTTAACGTGGGGACAGTCAAGTATATAGCACACATACAGTGACATGTGTCTCTCGATGCTAAGACCCCTACCTGATTTCTTCTCCTTCCAGAAGGCGACGATAAGTGGCAATTTCCTGCTCAAGCCTGGTTTTTATGTCCAGGAGAATTTCATACTCTTTCATGTGTTGCTCTGAATCATTCTTAATTTTAATCAGCTGTTGCTTTAGGCTATTTAGCTGTAGCTGAATGGCAGCATATTGCTCGCCATACCACATGTTGGTGTCCTCAAGTGTCTGCTCCAGAGATTCTTTCTGAAAGAGATGGATCAATTTTAGTTTCTTTTGAGAAGAATTTCTGCACTAGTCATTGTGAGCATCATGCATAGTTCGACCTTGATTCTCACTCTTCTCTTTAGCCAGCTTAGCTACGTAACCAGCTAGGTTATTATTGACTCCTGGGTTTCTGTGATTTTTGTTTCTTGCTTCTTAGTGTGTTTCACTGTATTATTGTTCTCAATATTGCTCCCCTCTCCCTGCTCTTCAGGGTGACTCTCCTTGGAAAGAAGCAATCTCCTTATCCTGTCCAATCCCAAGTTTGATCATGTGCCTTTTTCTGATTTATGAGACTCAGATCTCAGGTCTCAGGGCTGGAGCGATAGCACAGCGGGTAGGGCGTCTGCCTTGCACGCAGCCAACATGGCCGACCCGAGTTCGATTCCTCCGCCACTCTCGGAGAGCCTGGCAAGCTACCGAGAGTATTCGATATGCCAGACACAGTAACAACAAAGTCTCCAATGGAGACGTTACTGGGCCCGCTCGAGCAAATCGATGATCAACGGGAGGGCCTTTACTTTTACTTATGAGACTCAGGTAAAACTGACAGAGTCATTTTCTGAGGCACACCTCTATGAGCTATCATTGGATGCAGGCATTGCCTTAATCTTTCTACCACAACACCAGCAGACCCCATGTCCCCTTCCTCAGCCTTATCCTTAATGTTGAAGTCTCAGGGAACAGAGAAGGTGCTAATCCATGAAGAGTGAGATAATTATTGGCCCCTATAATTTGGGAGTGTGAGTATAGCAAAATTTAGTATGAACTGACCGAATAGCTTACTTGGGATGCCTTTACTTCTCTTTGTCATTCAAATTCTACCTCATTTTTTTTCTGATGTAGCTAACTGCCACTTTGCCCCTGACATTCCCAGATCTAGTTCTCCCTCAGCATCCTGAGCCACTGGCTTTATTTGTTACTGTCTTTTAATTATCATCAATCGTTTGGTTTGTCTTCTTTCCAGCTTTGCAAGGGAAGTGATTCTTTTTTGCAGAACCATAAGCTCTAGCACAGTAACTTAGCAAGCTCATACTTCATTGAGAACTCACTGTTCAAGGTGCCTTACCATGTTCAAAAGGGACCGGAGTTCTATCTCGCTGGTCTGGTAGGTTTGTTTTAACACCTTGACTTGACTCTCAGCTTCTTTTAGCTCCTCCGTGCTCAATGTTACTTCTTGCTGCAGACTGCCAATCTGAAGTTCCCCAAAGTAGAGAAATAAATAAGGCAGACAGGAAAGAAAGATATGAGTGATCTCTTTTTTTGAAGCATATCATCTACCCATTTGCTAACCCTTTTGAAATGCTTTACCTGCAAATCAAACTGTTCTTTGGCCTTCTTCAGGTTCTCCTGAGCCATGGCTTCATATTTCTGCCTCATTTCATTCATGATAGCACCAAGGTTCTTGCCTGGAGCAGCGTCCACCTCTACTGTGACAGATTTGTTCATCTGACCACGTAGGGCTCCCACTTCCTATGAAAATTGGAAATCCTGATTACTATTTAGTTTAAAGCACATTGCAGATGAGGTTGGGCAGAAAAGACAGACTAAATCTTAGGCCTCCTTTCATTGAGAATGAATAAAAAAATAAAAGCTAAGTAACTTAGATTGAGCTTGTTCTGGTCCAGGGATTGCTCTTAGTCAAAAGCAACATTATAAACAAAAAAATTAGGGGGGGCACAGGAGATAGCTCAGGAGTCAGGGAAGCATGGCTTGTATGGGCAAGAATTGGAGTTCAATCACATTCCCAGTCTTAACACTGGTGGTCCTGGTGCCTCCAACCCAGTGCAGTGTGGTGTTACTGGATCTGAATACAGAATATTCTGAGCCAGGTAGACTTAGTTTTACTAGAAGTAGCCCCTGGCTCCTTTGAGTACTGCTTGAGAATCTCCCCAACCCAAGAAGAAATTGTGGCTTACAACCTTATAACTATTACTCTAATTGTTCCATCATTCCCAATACCCTTTATGAATATTGCTTCACCTCTTCATGTTCTTTTTTGAGGAGAGCGAGGTCTTTAGTAATTTCTTCAATCTGCACCTCCAGGTCTGTTTTACGGAGTGTTAGATCATCAAAGACCTTAGACAGGCCTTGAACATCAGTTTCCACAGAAATACACATTGACCTCTCAGTCTCATACCTGGGAATTAATAAGTAGAGATAATGTCTCCTTTAGAATTAAAGAAGAGAACATTTTACAAAAATGAGACACTTCTACGGAGCATAGGAGATTTATGTCAATATATATTGTATCCATCTTTCTCTAGTTCAAAAGTGTTTCTGAACAGCCAAGACTAATTGAGATAAGTATCAGGAGATTTGCTTCACGGTTTGAAAGCCAGAAGCACATGCTGGGGGAAAAGGCAGCTCAAATAGAAAAGAGAACACCAAGTAAAGGGTGTTTGGAGGATCTGCTTGGGATGGGAGAGGCATGCTGAAAGTAGACTATAGACCAAATACGATCACTGCTCAATACCTCTATTGCAAACCACAACACCCTAAAGGAAAGAGAGAGCAAAAGGGAATACCCTGCTACAGAGGCCAGGCCGGGTTGGGGTGATGGGGTGGGAGTGAGTGGGAGGGTTACTTGGATTATTGGTGGTGGAGAATGGGCACTGGTGGAGGAATGGGTACTTGATCATTATATAACTGAAACCCAAGCATGAAAGTTTCTAAGTCTACAACTGTACCCCATGACATTTCACTAATAAAATTTTTTACAAAAAGGTTTCTGAGAACCAAAGACTCAGACAAATTGTTTCATAGTGCTTTGGAGAGATTGGTTGGAAAAAAAGTTATCTGAAACATACTTTTAAAACTCCTAAATTCTAGGATATTCAGAAGAAAATAAAAAATATTCTTTTTAATTACAGTGTTGGCAAATGGTTCTCAGCATGTGTAATAGTGGTTAGTTAGATTTACTTAATGAATGCACATAATAAATTTATTTTTATTTTTTTCTCCATCAACGCAAGCAAAGTAAATTGTCTTAAAATGTCTCCTCTAGAGTCTTAGATGTTTTTATCAAGCAGCAAAGTTTAAAAAATGATTATGCAATGGAATCTTCATGCTGACTTGGAATAAAGGAACTTTAACCACTTTCATCTTCAGAACTATTTTACCATTTTCTTCTTTTTGATTCCTGTAGCATTAACATACTTCCTTTCCAAACCACAAAGGACTTTGCAGTGCCAATGCACACATTTCAGGAGGACAAAGTTTTAGTGTAGAAGTTCAAGAGCAGCAGCACTACAAGTGGGAGAGCACTGCAAGAGAGTGAATCCATTTGGAACGGCTTTTACAATCTTTCTAGATCTGTAAAATAATCACTGAATAACTAGGAATCATCAAGAGCCATCCACAGAATTCAGGTCACACACTTGCAGGCACTGGAAGGAAACTGGATGACCCTGCTGGAGAATTAGTAAAGGCAGACATACAACTCTCAGTAGATAACAGAGGGACTCTGATACAGAAGGGAGTTGTCAATTGCTTTGTGATTGCTCCAAAGGGCAGAGTTTGGTTCAAAGGTGAAAAGGTAGAAAACTTTCTAGGAGAGATAGTGGAGAGATAGCGTAGTGGGAAAGATGCTTGTCTTGCATGTTGCCAGCCCAGGTTCGAGCCCTAGTATCCCATCTGATCCTCTAAGTCCCACCAAGAATGATCCCTGAGCACAGAGCCAAGATTAAACTCAGAGCACCACCAGGTATGCTCTGTCCGCTCCCTGCCTCCACCCCCCTCCTCAGAAAAACCACAACCCCTTTATAGCAACCAGAGCTAAGGAGAGCAGTAGTAGAGACATTTTCAGATGGATACCAGTCTTATGATTGTGGGAGAGAGAAGTTGAGCATTGAGTTCTGGTCTAGATCAGAGAGTTTCTCTACATTCTGTGATTCTGAGAATATATCATGACTTCCTTTACCAACCATTGGTGAACCTGACACACATTTGATGGACCACTAATAGAAATTCCCCTTTTCAGGAAGTTTGGCCATTGGCATGAAAGAACTTACTTTATTCTGAAATCTTCAAGAGCCAGCCTAGCATTATCGATTTTCAGAACACACCGGGCTCTGTCTATTTCAGCATCTTTAATCTGAAAAACACAGGAGAAAGGACATTTTCAATGGGACAGGGCTTTCTGAGGCTTGGATTTACCTTCAGATATGGCTGCTAGTTTATCAAGGATGATTTCCATTTCAAAAATTTCCACATGGAAACAAAAGGAAGAAGAATGAGATGGTTATTTAGCATAACAAAGTATAAAATGCAACACTAATTTTGTTAGTATCTACTTAGGGTTTAGTTTCCTTTGGGGTTTGGTTAGCTTTCTTGTGGGCCCTCCCGTTGATCATCGATTTGCTCGAGCAGGCCCAGTAACGTCTCCATTGGAGACTTTGTTGTTACTGTGTCTGGCATATCGAATACTCTCGGTAGCTTGCCGGGCTCTCCGAGAGGGGCGGAAGAATTGAACTCGGGTCGGCCATGTTGGCCGCTTGTAAGGCGAACGCCCTACCCGCTGTGCTAAAGAATTTACTTCAACTTGACCTGTTAAACCATATTGAGTGTCTTGTCTTTATATTTTTCTTTACCTCTCTCATTTGGTAATTATTTCCTCCTGTCTCAACTTAGACATCATTGCCTTAAGGAACCCAACTTTCATTGGTTTTCTCAAAACAGAACTGGTGACACCACCTGATCTCTCATTAGCCTATACAACCCTCCTCGGAAGCAATTACCACTCAACCTTTGTCCATGATCATTTTCCTATTTTCCAATACTGGACTAGCACCTTGTTAGTATGTACTCAGTATTGACTAATTGAATGGATCCCATCTGGTGGGAATTAGTCAAACTCTAGGGATCTCAGGTTGGATAAATCTTGATCCAATGGATTTCTTGTTGTCAATGGGTGAGTTCCCTATGATGTACCAAGATCATCCGAACATGAATATGTCTCTATCAGCAGATTCAGCCTTAGAGAGAACTGCCTATAATACCAGTTTGGCGCAGATAAATGGGAATAATGCCCATGCCTCTGTATTTTTGGGTTGATAAAAAGTAAATTAGAAAACAACATGAATCATGAGTCAGGGAGGGCAGAATGCCTGACTAACTTTAAATATTTTAGTGGGAGGCTGGAAAAAAGTGACTTGTTGGCAGGAAGGACAATTTAAACACTTTTGCCTCATAGTCCCCATTGTTCCAGGAGTCCCAAAGATATGGCCCTTAGAATTAAAACCAAACTTCACTGATGTCTAATACGATCACGATCACGACCATCCTGTTGTTTGTCGATTGCCTCGAGCAGGCCCCAGTAACATCTCCTTCGTCCTAGCCCTGAGATTTTTTTTTTTAAAGTGTCATATTCAAGGCTCTTTCAGGGTTAGGAGAATGAGACCCATCATTGTTACTGATGTCTAATACAGTACAATAAAATATATATCAGTAATAGTTGGCTGTTGTCTTAATGGAATATGAATATTGAAGTAGAAATGAAAACAAAAGGGAACTTTCTTTGATTAGGCAAGAATTTTAAAGCAACAAAAATTCTTTGGGTCATATAAAAATCATCACCTCAGATCAAAGTCTCCTTCCCCCTCACACACACACACATAATGGATAAAACAGAGTACATCTGTATTGAATGACATGGGAGTAGTGCATTTATGATTGCAATAAATCTGCGCCAAGCATGTAGGTGATAAGACCATTACAAGTTGGGCAGGTGGTAAGACCCTTCCAAGAGGGAGAGGAAAGGTAGGTATGAGGCCTCACCTGTTTGCGCAGGTCTTCGATTTGCTTGTAGTAGGCACTGTAGTCCCGGGGACTGCTGGACGAGTTGGCTTCGTACCACTGCTTAACCTTCAGTTCCAGGGAGGCGTTAGACTGTTCCAGCGACCGCACCTTTTCCAGGTAACTTGCCAGCCGGTCATTGAGGTTCTGCATGGCCGCCTTCTCATTGCCAGTAAACAGCTCTCCTCCGAGGACGTTCTTGGGGCCCCCCACGTAACGGGCAACGGAGATGCGAGTGTTGTGGCCTCCAGCACCCCCATAGACGCTGCGTGCCAGCCCGATGCGCTGTCCTTTTTTCAGTGCGTCCCCAACCATGCTGGCCGCGATAGCAGGTTCCTCCGAGGAAGAGCTCAGATGCCTTCGCAGCTGGCGTGTGTTCTCCATTGGTGCTCTAGGCTCGAGAACACGCCAGGAGCTACAGAATGAGGGGTGCAGAGGCTGTTCTGGTTGGTAACTGAACAGCTCTTTATAAGGTGCATCAGCTGACTCCTCCTCTGCTGACTTTTCACCCCAGGAAGCCAGCAGTGCACCCTGCCTTCTGGGTTGATACTCACACTTTAGACAGCAAATGCTTTTTATCATGCTTCAGAAATTACCACTAGAGGCCTTTCTCAGAGGCAATTTTCTTTTGACTTCTTTTTTTAGACGGGGTAACAATAGGAAACAGGAGGCTGTATTCTTTCTCTCACTGTGTGCACCTCCCTTAAGCAGATATTTTCTTTCCCATCCTCCTATAGACATTGAGATTATTTGCATGAATAATTTAGATTTGGATTCGGAATAGTCGCATTGGCAATAAGGGATAACCTGAGGAAACGCTGTTTTATTTGGGATGGGGGGGGCAAGAATTTATGTTCTACTCTCAGTAAATTTCAATTGTAAAATACAGTGTTACCACATTTTATTTTATTTTTTAAACATTTTTTATTTTATAATATAGGGCACAATATTTGATTACATTTAATATTCAAATGGGCTGGAGCGATAGCACAGTAGGTAGGGGGTTTGCCTTGCATGCCGCCAACACGGCCTACCGGATTTCAATTCCTCCACCCCTCTCGTAGAGCCCAGCAAGCTACCGAGAGTATCTCGCCAACATAGCAAAGCCTGGCAAGCTTCCCGAGATGTATTCGATATGCTAAACACAGTGACAAGTCTCACAGTGTTACAGGACCCGCTCGAGCAAATTGATGAACAACGGGAGGACAGTGACAGTGGCAATATTCAAATACCAACCCCACCACCGTTATACCTTTCCACCACCATATTTGGGATGTTTCCATCTCAAACCTCAATCCCTGTCCTAAAGCAGAACGGAAATAATATATATATTTTGTATTGTTTGTTATGAAAAACTGCTGAAAATTCTATATAAAAGTATCCATAGAGAAAAGAGTGTGAAGATTGTTCTATTTTGGCAGGGGACATTAAGACCTTCTATAAGATATTACTAACATGTTGTTAAAGGTTGAGCCTTGTGAACTTTGGCATATATCTGTAAATATATATATATGTACATATATATGTATATATATATTTCCCTCTATAATTGGTTGCCTACTATTTGAACCCCATCGAATGTGGTGTGGTACTCTTGGAGAATGGGTAGGGTGTGTCTTATGATGTTTCTCGTGGCCACATTCACAGTTCAGGAATAGGTCGACTAGTGTGTGAGGTTCGGCCCAAGCATGTGGGGAGTGGCCTTGAGCAAGGCAGCACTTGAGTTATGGAGGATTTTGGTGCCGGGGGCTGGGTCCCTTGGGGCAGGAAGGGCTCTCACACGCTACCCCTGTGAGGGGCACCCTGAGTGAAACAGCCTGGTGCGGTGTTAGCACATTTTAATATCACATTTTAATATCCTCTAAGTCTCAAAAGAACGTAAAGGGGTTTTTTTTGTTTGTTTGTTTGTTGGTTAGTTGTTTGGGTTTTTTGGCCATACCCAGTGATGCTCAGGGTGAACATCTGGGTCTGTGTTCAGGGGTCACTCCTGGTGGGGCTTTAGGGACCATATAGGGTATCAGGAATGGAACCCAGGCCACCCTCCTTGCTCTGCCCACTCTACCATCTCTCCAGCTACCAGATCTTAATGTTTGTCTCTTTTTACCAACTTCATATTTTCTTCACTCCACAGCCCCTAATAACTCCTTTCATACTGTATCTGTTTCAGGTTTTTTTTGTTTGTTTATTTTGCTTTTGCTGTTTTCCAAAGTTGTACACATAAGTGACCTCACACGCAGTATTTGTCTTTCCCTGCTGGACTAATTTCACTCGGCATAATATCCTCAAGTGCCTTCCACGTTGTCAAAAATTTAGAGTGGTATTTTTTAAATTGTTTTATTTTGGGGGGCTCCCAAGCAAGGATCAGGGGACCCAGATTATCTCCCAGCTCTTCTCTCCTGCTATTCAGGTGGTTGTAAGGGCCCGAGGATGTATTGCAACTTGGGTCCTTCCATACCAGGCCACCAGGGCTATCCCCATGTTGCTTAAGGGCCTCAAAAGCCACAACTGATGAAGCTGGGGGTGGGGGCACGTGGTCAAGATTGACCCGCAGGGATGGCTCTCAGCACAGTTTCCCCAGTTTACTCATCTTGGTGGTTTGTATTCCATATAGGAGTGAAACTATCTGGTCATTTTTCTCAGAATATGCTAATGAGAGTAAGCTTGCTTCTTAACTGCTAGTACAACTCTTAAAAATATTTATTGATGGCTATTTATGAATATTTATGAATGGCTTACAGTACCATTCAAAATAGTTTCATGGAGACATCATTTCAACATATCATTCACCACCAAAGTACTTATTTCCCTTCACCAAGGGCCCAAAAATCTCTCCTGTTCAACTCCTGTAAACTCAGTTTTGTGGATCAACTTTCAGTTCCATTGAATTAATTTTTATTCTCCCTTAGATAAATGCCTATAAATGCTATTTCTGGATCACATGGAAATTCTATTTTCTTTTTATGGGGGGGATAGAGGTGCACACTAGGTGGTCTTAAGTTTTGCCCCTGGTTCTGTGCTCACAAATCAGTCCTGACAGTGCTAAGGGAACCAGATGTGGTGCCACACATCAAAATTGGATCAGCCATAAGCAGGGCAAGCACCTAACCTGCTAACCTGCAGTATTATCTCTCTGGTCCCTATTTTCATGTTTGAAGGGACTCTCCATACTGTTTCCCACATTTCCACCCTCAGTGACAAGCTCTGCTTATCCTCCACAACTTCACTCACACTGGTTGTTTCCAGTCTTTTTGAGAGAGGCCATTCTCACAGGGATGAGAGAAAATCTCATGGTGGTTTTAATTTGCATTTCCCCATTGGTAAGTGAGGCAGTGGGAAGTGAGGGTGAATGTTTTTTTTTAATTAATTTTTTTATGTGCTCCTGAATGTGACTGAATATTCCTTATCCTTTCAGGAATGCTGAGGTTGTTTCCATAATCTGGGCTAAGATTATGAACAATATTGTAATGAGCACGGGCATGCCAGTCTCTTTGCAAGATAGTGATTTCATTCCCTTTGGGTACATATGCAGAGGTGGAATTGAATATGACACCCATACACAATATTTATTTATACAAGGTATATACATATACTTGGAATTATATCTGGTTGGTTTTGGGGGGCTGTTGGTTTTCCAGTGCTGAGGATCAAACCCTAGGTCTCACATAGGCAGGGTAAGTACTCTAATGCTGGGCTACATTCCTGGTACAGTAGTTAAATTTATTTTTAAAGATATTTTTATATTTCCTACTCTAGTGCCTAGAGTGATTCTCATACCCATAAGTATTGCAAGCGTTCCCCTCCCCCTTCCTGATAGCATTTATAACTCCTGTCATTTTTGATGATAACCATTCTAACAGATGTGAGGTGACATCTCATTTAGTTTGATTTATGTAACAACAAGGGTTCATATCATTGATAAATAACTTCAGCATTTCTGTTTTAAATTAAAAATGATTTTTAAGATTATTCTTGAGAAGTCATATTTTATTTATTTTTGGGCCACACCCCAGGGTTTTCAGGGCTTACTCCTTGCTCTGAACCCATGGATCATTCCTGCTAAAAGTTGGGGGATCATATGAGGTGGTGGGAATTGAGCCTGGCCTGATCACTTGCAAGAAGCTCCTTACTCACTGTACTTTTGCTTTCTACCCTAGAGATCATTAGTTTGTAATAAACACAAAGCCTCAAGTATTTAAAATGGTAATAAAACACACATTTGGAGTTGAAAATTGGGAAAGTAAATTGAGTTTAGGTGAGTGATAGGTAGATGATTTTGAAATGTTTTCCTAATTCTAATGTTCTAGGAAAAAATGAAAGTTTAAAATTTGCAATCACTCCCAGCTTTGGGTTTTTTCCTATAGAAACTTGAAGCAAATAGACATTGCTTTGCACCTGATCTGTGTAGGATCAGTTCCACTCCTCTGTTAAGTTTGCCTCTGCTCTGTCCTTGCTGAACTTCTGCCTCCTAGAATCCCCAGTGAATTTCACTAATCTCACAAATTAGTTTAGTTCACTATAGGTGCAGCCCAGGGGCAAAGGTCAGGAAGGACCTGTGAGCAGATGCTGGGGGCTGCACACCACCTCCCAGATGGGGCTGGATGCCATAGGAGGTGTGGCAGCCTCCAGCAGGTTGAGCTCACCAGTCTGGGTCTGATAAACATCAGAACATAATTTCTGAATTGCATTTAACAGAATTTATTCATTTGTCAACCTTTGGCTAAAGTCTCCTGACCCTCAAATTCACACTCCCACAACATGCGAATTTTCTCCTTATAAAGGATTGGAAATAAACCTCATCCATTCTCATCCTATTCTTTCATTGAATGAGGTTTGAATATTATTAAAGCAGAGAATCAAGTATGTAAAAGGAAAAAAGAGAAACCAAACAAATAACCTCCAAAGGGCATATCTGAAACCCACAAGTTCTTACTGAAGAAATAGAATCTACTGGTTTGAGTCGCCAATTTCCCCTCCCCCCCAACCCCAAGCCACCCCTCTCCAACACTAATGGCTTTTTCCCTCTTTTTAAATTCTGAGCATTTAAAAAAATCAACTACTTCTTTTAAAATAAGGTAAGTAATAAGCTTTAATAGCATTCTATGTATTAGATGTTGCTTTCATTCTATTAGTAGAGTAAATATGATGTGAGGTAAACCTATTCCATGCACGTGAGGGTATGTATGTGGACACATATTTATCTATTCGTATATGGATCAGATATCCTCACTGAATACTCACTAGCAGTAAGTAAACACACTAAGTGGATCTTGCTATTAACTGTAATGCTGTAATTTCTTATAGATAGGTATAACAGCTAAAAGTTTCAGTAAAGGACTTTTTGCAGACACATAAACTCTGTTCTACGCATATGATCACACATTAAT